TCACTATTGCAAATGTGAACTTAGCTTAGTAGTAATACATAACTACTATTCCTACTCTGTGTATAACCAGTGATATATAGTGACATCTACCTTATTAAACTAGAATGTTTGGTGAGCGAGATTTAACAGAAAATCTAGATTGCAACATAAACAGTCTACGTGCAGATACATGGTTGGACCTATCTGTATAAGATGTGTGTAGAGCTCAATTTTTAAGAATACCAATTATATCGAAACAGGATTAAAGAATTGAAGGAATAACAAATCACTTGTACAATTATTTTCAAGAAATTGATCTCACCATTGTGTGCATTATTTGCTGTACTTTGAATGTGATAGTCATATTATTATTTCATTAACTGCCTCCTCATCAAGATTCAATAATTCCATGTTCCATGAAAAAATGGGTTTGACTGGTAGATACTTACTACTTACTTGTTAAGAGGGATCTTATGTATTAGCTTTTGTAAAAGTGAAGTTAATTTGTAGAAGTGTCTAAGTGCAAGAGGCAATTAATGTGGATTTATGTATTTACATAGTAAATTTTTTTATATAGTAAATTATTTGTATTAATAAATGGACATCCCTAAGGAAATTCATTAGAAATCTAGGCTTTGTTTGGAGTGCCAGTTTTTATAGAAAAAAAAAATACTGCAGCGATGTAATGTATATAAGGTAAAATTTAATTGATAAAATGTGTCGAGAGAATTTTCTGTCGAAACTCACAATTCAATTAGTTTTTTACGAATTATGGAACAAAACGAGCATGCGTCCATTTTAAATCAGTCTACCATTAATGGACAAGAAATGAGGGAACAAATGCCTGACATTGACTAATTAATACCAAAACCAATAAATCTCCCATTTTTTATTTGATAAAACAGAAGGCAATATTATTATTAAACTAGCTAAATATCATCCAATATGATTTGTTTGACAAAAAAGGTTGCACTAATGGGAGAAAATACATAGATCATGCCATAGATATATTTGATCTGGAAAATCATTAGATATATAAGAGTTACAAAATAAGAGAGATTACACTGTGAATCACAAATCATTACATCTGACTTGTACAAACTACTCCACAAATATCTGTGCATGTCTATTCCCTCAAATCTGATATCTAATTAGTTCAAGTTCAAATTCGATGTTGAAATCTGATGAGAAAACTCAAGAAATTCTAAATCTAACATATATATTTGAAAAAACTCTCAGATATAAAGAAAAATAACAAAAAACTAAACAAAACTCCTACTAGAATACCCTAGAAGAGAAGCAAACTTTCACTAGTTAATACTAGGAGAGAAAAAACTCTCATTAGAATATCCTAGAAGAAACTTTATTAAACGAAAACAAAAATAGAGGAAGAGGAACGGCGATTTTGACTTGAGAACAAGATCTCCTGGAAGAACGGTGGAGAGAAAATTGAAAGCAGAGAGAAGGCCAGAAAAAATGAGTGGATGGAGAGAGAACGAGGCAAGATATCTAGAGATGTCTAATAAATCTCCAATGCTAATAATTTCTCCCTGTATAGTTAATCATTCCCATTTTGTAGTAAGCACACATTTCAGGCATAAATTTTTCCACAATAACCTATAGGGATAATTTCAAAGACCTGCTCGAGGTTTCTAACTATTTCATTAGTCTCGCTTTAAATTTCAAAAATTACACTGACCTGTCTTAAGATTTATTATCTTGCAATATTTAGGTTTAACCAACAATTTAAAAGTGATATGAGGAGAGAAAAGATATCATGATTCACCATTGCCCTTATCTACTATATTATTTAGTTAATCTAATACATGTCCACATATTAAAAAAAAAACAAAATTTTGCTATTTATCATTAGAGATCAAATCACATACAGTATCCAAAAATAGTATATCATTCTATATATTTCACTTAATATAAGATCTAAATTACTTTTTTCAGTTACAAATTTGTTGCCAAACACGCTCAACAATAAATAATAAAAAATGCAACCAAAACATTACAAAGAGCAATCTTTAATACCATAAATAAATATCAACAACTAACCTTAATATATTGACAAGAATATTTATGATGTTAAAGTTCTCTCTCTGTAATATTTTCGTTGCAAATTTTTTTGATTGTTTGTTGTTCATCATGTTTAATAATGGATATGTAACTAAAAAGAATAATTTAGATCTTACATTCGATGAAAAATATAAAATTATATACTTTTTTTATACTATATATGATTTGATTCTTAATCATAAACATCAAATCTTAGTGTTTCTCTTTAATGCGTAGATTGGTATTAAATTAACTAAATAATGTAGTAGTTGAATGATGTTATATTTTCTCTTTCCTAATATTAGTTTTTAGTTATTGACCGGGTCTAAATGTTTCAAAATAATTGGAAACCTAAGTGGAAGACAGCGGAATAGTTGAAAATCTTAGGGAAGGTTTCTGAAATTATCCATACGATATCAATCCCGAATTTTTAAATCCTCACGTGCTAACAAACCCACGAGACTTTGAGGGGCATTTTTTAATTTGAACCCCTCCTGGTCCACCACCATGCTTATCCACACTTCCCACTTGCTGCGGTGACACGCAACTTTTGGTGCCATGCGTGGGCGTTTTAGCAAACCTCAGCCCGGGGAGTTTCTGGATATTTACGAATGGCCGATTTAAAAGGTCGAGTAATCCCACGTGATGCCCGACCCCAGCCAGTATAGTCTCACGAGTTGCTAAAACACGTGTACACGTGTCGCTCTCTGAGTCAGTGACAGTATAGACCTGTGGTACCACCGACAGGTGGGCTGCACGATTTTAGCAACGCATGGATTAAATAGCTGCGCACGTGGTTCCATTACCGGCTTGACCGGTCATCCACCTGTCTAATCGGTAAAAGCATCTCCATGCGAACCATATCAAGTACTGTAGCTCCCGCCACTTAAAGTATTGGTTTACTTTGCTTTGGCTGTACAATGCGGGTAATCCTTTGAACGCCTTTTCCACTCCCCCAAGGTTTCTATGTGATTGAAATTACAAGATTGACCATGGTTTTGTGGATTGTGATTGTGATGAGTTTTTCGTACCTCTCACATGCTTGTCAAATGGTGAAAAATCAAACAATAGCTATAGATCTTTATTGGTACTTTTCAAGTACCATGTGGATTATTATTGATGAAAAAATGGAATGAATAGCAAATGAAGCCAACCGACATTTCAATCTCATTGGATAGGTGTTTTTTCAAATGTGGTATGAGAGTAAATAATTTTTGTGCATATCATCTTATCAAGACGAATCAGGGTCAACATCCAAATTGAAAGGTGTTTATCGAGTCATCGAATTCTTTAAAAAGCATCTTAGGTTGAGATGCCGTGGTTGTTTTATGTCCCTCATTTAATTTCTTATTAGGCATCAATTCTCTTCTGTATAAAAAAAAAATAAAAAAACTAAAAAAATGAACTAGGTATTAGTTGAGTGAAAAATGGCATAAATCTTGTTGGTACTATGATGTTTGCATGAATTCAGTATATGTGGAACAAGGTCTCGAGGCAGTATCTAGATCCCACATGTTAATGTGATTTTTGTACACAATCAATTATGTATTGCTTGCATTACACTTCTCCAAACTAATTAATTTATCAATATGCACTGTTTTCTCTTCTTTTCTTTTTTAACTTTTAACATTATTTATTCAGCTTCAGAAGTTAACAATTATGGTGATAGAGAATATATGTATGTTATATGGAGTTTGATTTTTTGAAAGCATTCAATACTAAAAGATGAGATTATACCGATTTGAACAAAGCACAAATCTAGGGTGATACTTCACCAATGTTAAAAGCCAATTTCATTTAAATTAATTAATGCAACACATAGCAGTTTACTTTCACTTGCTTCTTCTCACATGAATTTAGTATAACCCTTTGCAACTTTATTATCAGCATTAAACTTCAACCACTTGTATCTTTCTTGTTAGTGAACTGTCACTTTAGTCTCTTGCTATTGAGAAAAGGTGGTGATTGTTGAGTTAAGCATTAATAAGATACTTTTCATTTAAGAGTTTTCAAAAGTATGAGCAATTTGAGAATACATCATAGAATCACAACTACTCTAGAATAAGCTAAAACTTTACATGGAGAACAAGCAAAAATACATCAAAAAGCATATCAAATAGGAAATGATCAACAAAGCAAGTTTGTCCATCGACTAAAATTAATGAACTTTTAGCGCATACTGGTCGTTTTTTTTTTTTTTTTGTCTTTATAACAAAATTTCGAACATAAATTACAAGATTTGCACTTAATGCGGATCATTGTTAAATCTTTATAAGAAAATTTCGCCTATAAATTACAAGATTCAATTATTAGTACTCAATAAGTACGAGTGTCTTTCTTCCCATGCAGGTCATGAAACATCTTAGGCTCATTCAATACAATCAAACCACTACAAATTCTACCAATTATCAATATTTGCAGCATCAATTATTACACCCAATAATTAAAAGAAATCATTTACCATGTTCAGCTCTGAATCATCTCTTTAGAGTCATCAAACAAAATTGCCAAGGACTTTGAAGTAAATTGTGTTTCTAATCAACTTGACAGACTATAGAAAATTAACATAGTTTCTATGCGATTAGATTTTTGTACATGTCACATATTATCAACTTTCAATCTGTACTATAGAAGATTGAACTGTAATGCATTAGATGTTTGGAGTAAATTTTGTTTTTTTTTTTTTACATATTATCAATTTTCAATCTGTACCATAAAAGATTGAACCAGGCATATCATGAGATAAGTGTTTAACCATGTGGGATCCATTAGGCATACAACAATTTTTCCTTTTCAAAGGAGATTTTAGTCATTTTAAACAAAAAAAAAAAAGTAATGTCCAAAACTTTTTCTCATGTGGTGTCAATATCAATTTTTTAGTACTAAAAAAATAATTAAAACTGATCAGCTCAAATGAATACAAAGCTCAAGAATAGAAACGCAGCACCCATCATCCACTTGCCCATTCCTATAAACTCACAATAAAATACTCCGCAGCAAACACTCACCCCCACAACACACACTGGGCTTATAACCAACACGCTTTCTCCCTGTGTCCTTGCTCCTTGTCTGGTTGCGTTGCCTATTGCCTCTGTTTAAAGCATTTCTGCTGAAGAGGGTGCTTAAGAGGAGAATTGGGATTCTGGGATTTGTCTTTTTTCTTTTCTTTTTGTGATAAAGCAGAAAACTTTGAGCTCTTTTTTGATCTACTGAATTGCGGGTTCTGTTTGAAATTTGGAAATTTGGGTTCTGTTTGAATTTTGGTGTTTCTTGAAAACTCTGATTCTGAGATGGAGAGAGACTTCTTGGGATTGAATTTAAAGGACTCTGTTATTGTTGTCAAGGAAGAAGCTGTTGAAGGCTTCAAGGACTCTGGTAAAATTCTCACTCTTTTTTCTTTCCCTTTCTTTTTTGTTTTTTGGTCATTTGTAGCAAAGCAGAACTATGTTTAGCATGTTTCTTGTGTGTGAATCACATTGGCTTTGCTGGTTTTTGGTGACCAAAGTTAAAAATTTTTGTCCTCGGTCTAGTATTGGTTTTGTGATTGGGATTCTATATGAATTACAGTTAATTCTGTTTGCTAGTAATTATTTCTGAGCCTTTTATGCAAATTTATACAGCAATGCAAGTTTTAGCTGAGTTTGATGTCATATTTAGGGCCTTGTATACAAATGAGTTAGTTTTCAATAGGGTTGGAAGCGGATGTGTAAACTTTTTGTTATTAGTAGGTGACTGAATTCTGTGGGTAGTTTGCCATGCTCTAATAGTATAGGGCTTATTGTCTGCCCAGTAATTTTTTTTTCCTTTTGAGTAAGTACAATTTTGTGTGGTAATTGAGTCAAAAATTGCCATTCTTGTTAAAGGGGTGCTTGTTTTAATTGAATTATCAGTTGCAGGGATGAGAAATAAATGATGTCTGGTCTGATTACTAGTTAGAGAGAGAGAACTTCAAAGTTCGGTAAGAAAGTTTGACTCAATGTGATCATTCATGATTGGAATTTGGCCTAGTTCTTATATATAAGATTCACAAAGGAAGTGTTATAACTTCAATTAATTTTGGCTCCAAACTGGAACCCGCTTAAGACTGTATCTGTTTGGAGTTAGTTCAGTCTTTTATGTTAGTGTTGCCCAAATAAAGTAAGTTTTCTGGGTAAGATTTGCCTCTTCAATGTAGTTTCCTGTTTTAAGGATGAGTTAACTGTAAAATGCATTATCCTTTATTCTGACTGGACTTTGCTTCAAAGGGTTGGTCAGAAGTTCCGGAGTTCCATGGCCATTATCAAACAAGGTGTCTGCCCTTGCTCCTTTCGTGCCCTTTAAAACTTCCCATGATGAGAAGATGCCAAAAGTCAATTCTGATCACCTTGCATCTTCTGGGTATATGGTAATGTCTTCTGCCGATGCTTTTGATATCAAACGACAATCTGGTGAAGCTCAGGTTTGGATCTATCCTTCAAAGGGAAATTTGTTGCGTCAAAGTGTTTGTTTCATTGTTTACGCATGTGAATACAAGAGCAGTCTAATTATGATATGCTTTACTAACAGGCTGCGTGAATTTGCATGTTAGCATTTTTCAAAGCAATATTCATGCAATTGTCTTCACAAATTGAGATACGGCTTTTCCATTTTGAAACACATAATAATGAGGACAGCACTGATTTAAGTTGACATTTGTTTTTATCCAATAGAACATCCATCATGTGCATCTTACTCATGATGCTAAGATGCTTCCAATTTGCATGAGCAACCCTTTCCTGAAGACTCATTTTGCTGGTGCTGGTCAGAACTTGGCTGGTGCTAGTTTAAAGCAGCAGTTCATTGGAGGTGTGCCTGTTGCAGCTCCTTGTTCATTTGTTGCTTCTAGTAGTTTTGTGGCAGGGACAACTGAACCATGGTATGAATCTAATGGACCTTTAAGTAGACCTAAAGGATATAATATCCGTCATAATTTCATACTTTTTTCTGACCTATAGTTCTATTGTTGAGAAATATAACAGAGGAAATGAATGATATAGGAAGCTGCTTCTGTGTTTTTGGATTTCTTCATTGATAGGTTCAGTACCAAGGCTTCTGGGGGTGCTGCTCAGTTAACTATTTTTTATGGAGGGACAGTGAATGTCTTTGATGATATCACTCCTGAGAAGGTCCACCCTCTCTTTGTGTCTTTGGATAATTTATTTCTTTTTGAATTTAAAGCAATTCAGGCATTTCTCTCTTCTCTGCTGAGAAAGTTTTTCATGGTTTTACCTGTCTCATTTGATGGCTATATACCTTATCAGGCTCAGGCTGTAATGCTTTTGGCCGGAAATGCATGTAACATGGCACAAACAAGGCTTCCAGTTCAGCCACCTGCCTCCAAGTTTGCAAGCGGAGATGCTGCTTTTGTGAACCAAACCATACACCCACAATCTAGCTCTGCCCTTTCAAGCCCAATTTCTGTTTCTTCCCATCCGGTTGGCCAGTCAGGTGTTGGTTCTAGTAACAATGATGAATTGAAGGTTTCTAAAACTGCAGGCATGTCAACAAATCTTGTGAACAAAGTGGAACCTTTAAATATGGTGGCTTCACTTGGACCTGTTACTTCCACAACCATGATTCCATCAGGTATATGTCACTTACTTGGTTTTGATATTTTTAGCATCCAAAAATTGCCTTTACAAAAACATCTGTCTAAAATTTCCTTATAAGTAGCTTTGATGTCGTTTATCTTTTTGAGTCTTGGATTTATGGATTTTCTTGTTTTGCTGTTGGACTTTCTTGGTATCTTTTTTTTTTGGGCTGATCTATTGTTTTTATTGTGATACTAATATGGGGAGCAGATTAATATTCTTAAGCCATTTAACAAGTTCTGAGGTGTTGGCAGTATTTTTATTTTTAACTGCATTATCTTGGCCTCGCTATCATTTTTGTATTTGATTTCTATTTATTGATCTGCTTTCGATTATCATGTTTTGAATTGCACAATTGCTTGCTTTCCCATGTATGAGGTATGTGAAAGACATTTTAGCAGCAGAAGCATTAGTATCCTCCAATTTTGTTAACAATGGGGCTTAGTTATTTATATTAGTTAACTATAGCAGCAACATTTAAGAAACCAGGTTTTGTGTGCAGCTGTTCCACAGGCTCGTAAAGCATCCTTGGCTCGGTTTTTGGAGAAGCGTAAGGAAAGGTAAATCTGTTTCCTTCCATTTCTTTACTCTTCAACTTATGCTTTATTTTGTAGTAAATTTAACTCAATATCTGTTGAATTAGCTTTGTCAATGATGCTTGTGGTATGACTATTCCAAGTCCTCAAGGGCTATTCTATGCAAAGCTTGTAAATAAGTAAATTACTTGATGTATAAGAGGATCTTGTAGGTTTAAATGAGATTCACGACTCATTTGATTAACGTATATTGCAATGACTTCCAGAATTTCCCACTTAATTCTCTGAACTCTTTTATATTTCTTCTCTTTCTTGCCTGCTTCTTCCTCTAATTGAATCTTAGGTTTAACTTGCATGCCTTTTTGTGTAGGGCACTGAACTCATCACCATACAATCCCAATAAAAAATCTGCTGGCTGTAGCATCCCAGATTCCATCATCGCCGGTTCCCCTGCAGCCTCCATTGCTGGCTCTAGCTTGCTGTCTACCAGCAATGAGATGCCATGATGGCTCGTCGATGAATTGGAATCCTTGGTATAGTAATATATAAATTTCTGTAGCAAAGTAAAACGCTAAGCAATTAGTTTTGGCTATCCTCTCAAAGTCTTATTTGTAATTTTGAACTTTGTCTAACTTGTAATCCAGTTTAGTCTTACTAGACTGGTGTAGCTTTTATTTATTCCACTACTCTTCTTTTGCAGTATAGGTTTTTCCATCTGCAAACTTAAGAGCTGGTTGTATTAATCAACTGTATTGCTTTTATTAATTTTTACACATATATAAATTAGTATACATAATTTAATGATGTAGTTCTTGTTAATCTATCAGGGTACGTCTTTGGTCTAGTTGATTATTGCTAGCATGCTTTTTTAATCAGTGAATGGAAAGTATAGTATAGCCTGCAACCCTTTTGATACTGCATTTGTTCGAATATGTTTGAAATCTTTTCTTGCAACTCCCAATGCTTGAAAGTTTCTCAAAGTTACAACCATTTTGGTAGTAAAGAAAACAAATGGACGTTTGTCTATATTTTCGTTGCAGTATCATACCAAATAACTAGCACATGATTTGAGGAATTTAGTCTTTTTTTTTTTTTTGGGGAGACGACAACTGTAGTATATCATAATCTATCCTATACTAGGAGAAGGGGTGGATCTAAGGAGATCCAGAGATAATTCGGAGGGGACTGAATACATCACCGGACCAAACAGGTGCATTATGCATTCGCTTGAATTTTTTGAAGCAAATCCACATTTTTAACGTGTCAAACCCTGTCTCTCACCCCACCACCAAGCCTTAAAAGTTTGATGGTGGTCACCGATCTAAAAGCTAGTGGTTTTTAGGAATTTAGTCATGCATGTAAAATTTTCGAAGACTTGAAATTTTGGAAGACTTGAAATATACGGCTTGGTGTACACGAATAAAATTTATTTGTGAATTCTCAAAACGCGACGCTTTACACTTGCGAATTGCTAACTATTCAACAGGTTGGACTGTTGATATTTTCTCTTTTAGATGGATATATTCGAAAGACGGGTAACATCAACTGATACCCATGCACAATTTCCACGTGCATCCGGATTCCAAATGAAAATATAGGAGTCCTGTCCAAATGAAAAGATCGTAGTAGTATTTGTGTGCCAGACGAAGCCTTTTGTGGTCGTCCTTCCTCAAGATCACATGGTGGTGGGCACATCCCCCTCCCCACTTGTTTTTGGTCCTTTTCTCTATGGAATTAACATTTTTTTTGTGCCAATTTTATTCCACATGTAGTAATAAAACATGTTCATCCCACATTCATTTTAGGGGTTTTCTTTTCTTGGGACCCTTTTATTAAAATTGTCAATGAATCCTACCAATGAGAGGAGAAGCTTGGTTTCTTGGGCAGTCTTAGTGCTTCAAATGTCGATTCCAATTTCCGACAATGTGATCATATTCTCCATCACGACCAGTTGGTGTAACGTTTCCGTCAAAGGGAATTGTACAAACACCATAGGACCATTTGATCAGATCTTGAAATTATTCACCTAATTGGATTTTATTTCTTGGGACATGAGTACTGTACATTTCTGTTGGCCAACCATGACTTGTGTATATATTTGTTTGGGACAATGTGATCATATTCTCCATCACTGCCAGTAGGTGTAACGTTTCCATCATACGTAATTGTACCAGAACATAGGACCATCTGATCAGTTTTTTTTTTTTTTTCAAATTTATTCACCTAATTGAATTTTGGGGCATGAGCACTGTATATTTGTGTTGGCCAACCATGACTTCTCTATAATTACTCCAGGCAACTGCTACAGTGTAGACAAGATTGATGCATGGGTGTTTCCTAGTTGGATGTTCTTCTAAGGGAATTTATGACCTTGTTTCGAATGTGATTTTTTGTAGAAAAATTTTTACGGTTTTTTAACATATTTTTTTATCATCTTTCTATTTTACATATGTTTACAGTATATTTTTCTACAAAAACGTTTAAAAATAACAGTCCAAGTTTCTTGATTTCGAGCACCAAAATCATCTTCCAGATACCTCTTTCATAAGCAATTTTGGTATCCGTTTTGTTTAGAAAATTAAATTCATGATGCTTGTGTCAAAGAGTGCCATGGGCGTTTCCTAATTGGATGTTCTTCCAAGGGAATTTATAGTTTCTTGATTTCAGGCACCAAAATCATCTTCCATATACCACTTTAATAAGTAAGTTTGGTATTCGCTTTGCTTAGAAATTAGATTCGTGATGCTTGTGTCTTCTAGAGTTTTACTAAATACCAGCAATCCATTTCCCAGAAAAAATAAAAAGATTGAACTGAAATTCACAAGAGCTTCAAGTGCATTGAGTTGCCAACTCAAAACATCTATGGGCTTTATGCTAAAAGCCTTCATAAATGAGGGGCTAACAGTGCGATTTACCATTCTTATTTCCAAATTCCCACGTAACCTGTCCCTTTAAAATTATCACTATTAGAGGGTAAATAAGTGGTAAGTAGGGTACATTATCTTGTTGTACTGCAAGAAAAGTTCTCATATTTTGGCTGTAAAGGGCATTTTGGACTTAACATTTAAATAGGGATGCCCAATTTACAAATTTTACTGCCAATGACTACTCCTATCCTTTCTCTCATGAAACATACACGTTCGCCTCAATTATTGAGCTAGTCTTGACCTCTGTTAGTATCAAATGTTATGCTTCGGGATGACCATGAATTTGATTGCATGTCAAAGACTTACAAATAAGAAACCTCTCCTCCTGATGTTTACTAGTGAGAGTTTTCATATTTCTTAGGTTATTCTAATGGGAGTTTTGTTTAATTTTTTGTTATTATTTTCTCAAATTAAGCAATTCTCATATATATATATATATATATTAGATCTGAAATTTCTTAAATCTTTTCGCTAGATCTCATTATTAGTTTTGAACTTGAACCAGATTTGAGGAAATAGACATGCAGAGACATTTATGGAGTAGCTTGTACAATTGGTTAGATCTAATGATTTGTAATTCACAATATAATCTTGTTAAATCAATGATTATTCAAATCAGATATATCTGTGATCTGTTCTGTGTTTCCTGCCATTAGTGTAGTTTTCTTTGTCAATTAAATCATGTTCGACAATTTCCAACTAGTTTATTAATATTAGCTTATGTTTTATCAAAAAAAAAATAATGTGCCATAAGATTAAAACAGTGAGAATTATCTGCCTTTGAGATTGTGACAAGCTTACAGCTAAGGGATTAGCACTGATGTCAATTTCCATGTGAAACATAAGGATGATTCATGTATTGACCTACTTTTGATGCCTTCTCATGCCAAGGGAAGGAAATTTGCATCAACAATACTTTTGATGATGCAACATCCTTTTGTCCTCTTTCTTCTTTTCTTGTGATAAACAAGGAATTAAGGAATCTACGATGTTGAGTTTATTGATTTTTTGTTGATAAAGAGTGATGCATAAGTGAAACTAACCAATTATATCAACCAAGGGCTTAATTGACACCCCTTCATTTTAGATCCACATGTTTGATGCATCAGTAACTTGTATTGTTAAAGTTGAAATTGGTGCAAGGGGTGGATCTAGTTCTCCTTTTATATCAATGCATGTGGTCCTATGTTTCTTTAAATATCAAATTCAAGGCACTCAATTATTGAACTCTTATTTACACACAAACATTTTTTTGATTATTATTCCCAGTGATGCCCCCAATGATTGAAAACTCATTAAATATTTTTGGGTTTGGAAGAGAGCATTAACATTTACTGATTGCCTCTCTGTACTCTCAACTTTCTCTCTACTCTTCTTCTTCGATAGGAGAGAGATCTTGGCCTTAAACCAAGATCTCCCTTTCTCTTCCTTTGTTCTTCCTTTCACTTTGTTCTTACTTTTATTTAATAAAGTCTCCCCTAGGGTATCCTAGTGAGAGTTTTCTTCTCTTCCAATTACTCTGGTGAGAGTTTTCTCGAGTATGTTTGGACAGCCAATTATTTGGCCAAATATATTTGCTGACATCACCATTACAATTTCCAATACACCTTTTTATCTTCCCAATTACCTTTTTATCTCACATACATCACATCACAAAAAGTGCTACAGTAAAAATATTTCAAATAACTTACAATCCAAACACACTACTCGTCTCCCAGGCTATTCTGGTGAGAGTTTTGTTTAGTTTTTTTTTTGTTATTTATTTTCTCAGATCTATATGTTAGATCTAAAATTTTTTTGATCTTCTCGTCAGATCTGAACATCAATTTTGAGTTTGAACCAATTGGATAGCAGATCTGAGGGAATAGACATACATAGATATTTATGGAGCGGTTTATTCAATTGGTCAGATATGATGATTTGTGATTTAAAGTGTAATCTTTTATATTTTGTAACTCTGTTAAATCTTATAATTTTTCAGATCTAATATATCTATGACATGTTCAATGTATTTTCTACCATTAGTGCAGATTACTTTGTCAAGCAAATTGTGCTGGAGAATTTCCAGCTAGATTATTAATAATATTGACTTATACTTTATCAAAAAAAAACAATTAATGATTGCAGCAGTAGAAGATTATCATTGAAGCTGTACATGCTATGATGTTTACAAACATATCATACATCTTTGCATATGATATTTGTCCGGAAAAGCTGTTTTGCATTATGCAACACAATGTTTTATTTCAAAAATAAATTGATTTGAGCTGTGAATTCTCCTTTACAATCAAAATGGTCATCATAATGCCTCCATTCCTGTGCTCTATAATCAAAATTGTAATCATAAATCCCCTATCCTCTGATTCTGTGTATGTCAATAACTCCATTCATATTAGGGTTAATTCCAATAAACCCCCTCAAAATTTATTTTTTTCTCACGTTGCTCACTTGAAGGTTGAATTGCACCAATCCATCCCCTACGATATTACAATATTGTCAATAAGGTGCAATCTGGTCGGACAACTTATGCGCACCTCACATAATTATATGAAGCGACCAAAATTATCTCTACAAAAATTAGTAATTGACATGGTAGAAAAATATGTAAATGAAGCAAGTAACTTGCCTTTTTTTTAGTGGTATAATAACTCGCCAATAAATAAAGTGACCCAGTTGCTTGCTTGATAACCTAAAAAAATTGCATCATTTTTCTAAACTATTTTTAAGTAAGGGACAAGTGGGATTTAAGAAGCATGCCAGAGAATGCACTATTTAAATGCAAGATGTGTAATTCCTTGCGTCTCAGTCTTAACCACTAAACTGTCTTATTACCATTTCAAGCATTTTGATAATGGGTTTGTTGCTC